TTATGTGCTGTTTGTTTTATTTGCTTCGTTGCTGCTCTCTCTGTCTCATTTTCTCTCCCCTATAAGCCAGCTATACTTAGGGTTTAGGGTTTAGGGTTTAGCGTTATGGTGTCTTAGGTGGTTTAGGGTTTAGGGTTTATGCGTTGTAAGGTGGTCTGGGGTTTAGGGTTTAGGAGTTTTATTCCGTTTATGGTGTGGCTGTTGTGGATGGTTTAGGGTTTAGGGTTTAGTGTCTTAGGGTCTAGGGTTTAGGGTTTTAGGATTCATGCACCACATGTATTTAGGGTTTAGGGTTTAGGGTTTTTGTTTTAAATTTAATCTTTCGATGTTTTTCTACGGTGTATGACTTAGGTGTTGTATCTTATTTTAGGGGTTAAAGGCGGGTTTAGGGTTTAGGGTTTAGGGTTTGTATGTGTGCAGTTTATTCCTGTGAGTGCACGCACGGGTTACGGCCTATCAGACTTAGAGGCGTGCATAGCATTGTTAGCGGAGTCTCTGCTGCATCTATCTCTTCCGCCTCCACCAGCAGCAGGGGCCCCCGTTGCTGCAGCAAGAGGCTTCGTCTTGGAGGTGCGCGTACACCCCAAACGGGGCCGTGTACTGCATGCAATTGTGCGGTCGGGTTATCTTCAAGAAGGAGCATGGGTAGCTGTGGGGCCCCACTATGGCCGCATAAAGAAACTCTATAAACCCCAGGGGGGCCCCCAAGATGGGGGCCCCCAAGGTGGGGGCCCCCTAGTGGGGGCCCCCCATGGGGGGGGGCCCCAGAGGGGCCCTAAGGGGGGCCCCCAGGGGGCCCCCATAAGGGTACCGTTTGCAGGGATGAACGAAGCAGTGGAGATTGCTGGGTTAGGGGATTTAGAGGCCTCTGCAGGACAACTGATTGTACAGACGAAGACGCAGCAACAAGCTGCTAAACTTGCTGCTATGGCGCAGAGAGCTCTTGAGGTAATGTTGCTGTTGCTGCTGCTGCTGCTGCTGCAAGTGTTGCTGCTGCTGCTGCTGCTGCATTGGGGAAAGGGGAGAATGGCTTGGGAGGAGGCGAGGGGTTTCACGCTTCGTCTTCGCCTCACGAAGTACTAGCGAGCGCTCATTGCTCTAGGGTTTAGGGTTTAGGGTTTAGGGTTTAGGGTTAAGGGTTGGTGGGATTGCGGTCTCCACAGGCGCGAGCTACCCAGAAGGAAAGTGTTGAGGCCCCGGAAGCAGAAGACCAGGTAGGAGGACCCATCGTACTTGTTGGTGTTGAGGGTTTAGGGTTTAGGGTTTAGGGCTCCGGGTTTAGGGCTCCGGGTTTAGGGCTCGTGGTATAGGATTTGGGGTTTAGGGAGTAGTGTTGAGGGTTTGGTGTTTAGGGTTTAGGGTTTAGAGTTCGTGTTAAGGGTTTAGGGCTGAGAATGTAGTATGATTGGTTGGTTGTTTTTTCGGGTTTAGGGTTTAGGGTTTGTGTGTATTTAGTATGGATGACAGTGGTTTTGTGCTCTACGGTTTAGGGTTTAAAGTTTAGGGTTTAGGGTTTAGGGTCTAGGATTTAGGGTTTAGGGTTTAGGGTTTAGCGTCTGGGGTTGAGAGTCTAGGGTTTAGGGTTTAGGGTTTAGGGTTTGCGAGATGTGTTGGTCCTAAGGCCACTATATCTGCATCGGAGTGTCTCCGGCATTTGGGGGGGAGTGTGTTACCGGAGGTGGGGTTGGTGTTGAAGGCTGGAGATCAGGGTAGTTTAGAGGCATTGTTGATGTGGATAGACACTGCAAATAAAAAAACAAAAGAAGAAAATCTATCTCCTGCTGTAGCACTAGCTCTAGAACAGGCCCGAGCCTCCCCTACAGCAGCACTAATAAATCAACCAAGACAAACAAACAAAGACAAAGGAGACAAAGAAAAAGAAGAAAGAGAAGATGAAGACACAGGAAAACAAACACAAGGGGACAAAGACAAACCTGCTGCTGCAGCTGCTGCTGCTGCTGCATACAGAAAGTCTCTGCTGCAGCAGTGGAGGCCTTTAAGGGTTGTTCGATCCGGTGTGGGGCCCCTCACTGTCTCCGACGTTCACTACGCCCAACTCACGGGGGCCCTCGTCTTTGCATTTGGGGTTCCCCTGCTAGACGGCGTCAAACAGGTAAACAACAATGCAGCAGCTAGC